TTTCTTGGTTACTGTTCATCGTCCCCAAAAAGACAGTTTTTTTAGATTTCTGCTGAAAATTCGGAAGGTCATAACTTCTTCAATTTAAGACCAAAATTTATGTTCTTTATATCGTTGAAAAGTTCTCGAGTATAAAATGGGCAGTGTGAAACTTAAAATGCAAGAAATTATCATACAATGAAATTTTGATTTTCTCAACTAGGGTTCAATTTTCTTCCCAAAATACAAAGCCAAATAATATGAAATTTTTCAGATATGTTCTCCATAATATCATGAACATAGAGTATAAATTTCATGAATTAATATGAAGTACATGAAAAGTTTCCATTATAGACATTCAAGTTTTGAAAGAAAAATTGGAATTCATGCATTTCAATCATTCTACGACATTTTCAACATGTGTTTAAGCAAGAAAATAATCTACTTAGGCTCTGATACCAATGTAGAACATGTTTGTATGCTTATAATCGAGTTTCAAGTAGTGATACTCTTGAAATCACAAAATTGAGGTTGAATTACTTGCATTTGATTTGCTTGCTTTCCACATCATCTCGTACCTGCCTCTTGGTCAGAAATTCGATCATAATGGAAGAAATTTGATAGCCACAATCCAAGAACCCAATTTGAAATGTTACCAAAAATCAAGTCTTCTTCCTCGTGTATTTTTCTTCCACTCCCTTTAACCCGAATTTCCTTATTTTTTGCATTTCAGAGACACGAATAATGGAAGTTGATGAGAGTTATTGGAGATGAGGATGTTAACTTTTAAATTCAATTTTCAACTTCTCCATCCAAAATTCATTTCCATGCAAACCGGATCGGATCAACCCACATGGACGACCTGTTTTCTTCCAACATGTTAATTTAATTTAGTAGTTGCCAACTTTATTAATTTAATTTATGGGAATTTATTGCATACTTCATAAGTTGCTACCTCATTAATCATTGCATTCCTGTTTGATATAAATTTTGGTAACTCCACGTACGATGATGCAATTTTGGTTTATTGTCACTACCTTGTAGTTGAAACATGGAAAAATTATGATCTTTTTTTGCGTTGCAGTTTTGTGTTTTTAACTGAATCAAAAATCCACCTCTCTGCTCTCTGTCCTCTTTTGCCTCCTGCAACCACCATCTCTACCTCACTCTTTACTATTGGTAGATATATTATACATACACGACACCAACCAATGCAGTGGGCGGCGCCTATTGTGGACAGACAAATGGATATAAATCCTAATTAGGGTTTAAGTCATAATAGGATGGCTCAATAATTTCTTATATAAAGGCTAAATCCCCTATTAACTTGCTCCATTGACGGTTAATACTTTGCGAGGCGCAAGGAGGGGAAGATTTAGCTGCTAATATTAAGATCCATGATGTCTTCCGCATGTATGAATTTGAAATTTTGAACTATCAATTTATTATTTTGTGATTCTTGTTTCTTAGTATGGTTATTGTTAAATTCAATATGGTCATGAGTCCAAATGGGAAATGATAAAAACAGATTGTCCATGAAAGAACAGAAATTTCTGAAAACAGCAGAAGTGAGAATGAAAAATAATTAAGAAAAAAGCTAGAATATATGCATGTGCATCATATCACTAATTCACATGTTTTCATTAGTACTAAGGACCCCTATTTCTCAGATCCTTGTATTGTCTCTATCAAAAGAGAATCATAACAGCAAAGCAAAAATACCTTGGCTTATTCAAAGTACTTATGACTTGAATAATTACTTCTTCTTTTTTAAAGAATATAATGTGTGATGAAGATATGCACTTAATTAACCTAGGTAGCATGTGCCTTTGTGTAGCATTATATGAATGCATATGATTAAAAGCTGAAAACAGCCTATATGTATATTTATATGTTGTCATGGATCAAGAAATTTCCTAGAAACTATTGAGGGAGATGGAATGAGTTTGAAAGGAAGGAATGCCACGTGGCGGAAAAATCAAGAAGCATGAGTATTTAATTGAATGAATAGTGCGTTATATGAATTATTTTAATCATGAAATTTTCATATTTTCTTGAAAGCTGGAGTTTTATATATTATAGAAGCTTAAAAATAGTATGAAAGATGCAAAATCAAGATCTATTGCACATGGCAAGAAATGAAAGTGGTTTTCTTTCTTGAATTTTACGAATTTCTATATTCCACAACGGCTTAACATAGATTATGAACAAAGAGATTAATAAAAGATTTCAACAAGAGAAACAAGAAAGTCATGTAGTATGACAAAATCTTCTATCGTACATGCTCTACATGAGAAATACACTTGTAAAAAGCAAAATTTTGGAGTCTCACCGGCTAATTTTTGAATCTTTAACATGAAAATGCTGCTTTTATTCTCTTTCTTTTGGTATGCTTACTTTTTAAATCGTGCCACTTGATTGGTTACTCAAGTCTTCACGAGTTAAAATCATTATTAATTAACTTCTTGAATGTTGCTTAATTATATTTTTTGCTAACATTTAGAAATTCAAAGAGTCAAAGAGAGGTAGGTCATTAGAGTTGATCAAATCATAGCATTTCTTGCTGCACATATAATCACATTTTAATTAGTAATAATAATATTATTTGACTAAAATTGCAATTACAATCATTGAACAAATGATTAGATAAAAAAATCAGTCCTTTTAATTTATTGAATGATGGACGGAAATTCACCCCTCTTGTCAAGAGTTTATCAGCCAATTGATTATGCTAAATGTCAACTCATCCTACGTGTATGTGGGTCCAAAATAAGTGGTTCTATTTGTTTATTTGCTTAATTTGTTCAATATTTAAGCTTACACTAAATTGTCGCGCAAGTCATATTGAATAAAATTAAGATAAAACGATATGGAATGTTAACAAAGTACATTTGCCAACAACCAAGATATATTGTGAATCAAATAAGAAAGTCAATTACCACTTGAGTAATCGAGTAAATGAATGACATCTTGTAAATAATAAATTGTTTGTAATACAATAACAACAAAAGATTGTGAATATCAAATAAGAAAAGTCTTTTAACTCATTGTGTAGTCAAGTCACTGAAGAAAAAATTATAATCAATCATACTACTTGTACAATGTTATTTGTACAATAATGGATGACAATCTTTGTTGGTATTATCACATCCATCCATTTTTTAAATTATCAAAAACCGTTTTTTAAATCATTGGTCCGGATTTCGCCACCTCCAACATTGTCAACAATATTTGTCAACTAACATTGTACAAATAGCTTAATTCTGCCAACTATAATGTAAACGAAAATGCGCATATAGCTCACATAACCAATCTATTAGGTGCATAATTCAATGCCAAGATTAAATCAAATTGACAACTTTAATTAATTAATTAATTAATGCTTAGGACTTCATTTCGTTTTATTTATTTATTTATAACTAAGTGGGAAATGGAATATAATACTTAATAATTTAGATAAATTTATTATTAAAAGATATAAAATATATGGAAAATATCCAGCCAGGAAGACTCACAAGAATTTATTAATTGCTTTCACATTACTCTTGAGTCCTATCTTGATTTGATCATTGAAGTTTAACAGGAATTTCTCCTCTTTCCGAGATAGTGAAGATTAAGTTCTTGTGTGGAAGTAATTTAAAAAATGCCACTTGTAATCAATCACTATCGCAATTGTCCTACATAGTATATGTGTAGCGCTTAGTGATATAATATACGAGATAAAAAAAATTACCACATTAACATATCAAAGCACAAACTGCCATGTAAAATGCAGCGTAGGACGACTACTGTGGTGTGCAATAATGAATAGCATTACTAAAGTAATTTTGTTGAAAAATATTATAGAGAAAAGTTATAGAAAAAAATTCAAAAATTAAGTATTTTTATAGAATTTATTGTTTAAAATGAATATGAAAAAAGCGATTTTCAAAATAATCACTTCTAAACAAGAATTGAGTACAAAATATAGAATTACAGGTATTTTTTTTTTTTTTTTTTTTTTTTAAAAAAAAATTTATATAGAATTATAGGTTTTTTTTTTTTTTTTTTTAAAGAACAATATTGTGTAGGTCAACTAGTGTTACATAGCCAACCAGGCCAAGCCTCGAGGCACTTATTGGTTGTTGGTCGTCCATTGCATTATATTTGATGTCTCTCTTTGGTACATATTCCTCAAAATTTATTTTTTTCCAAATATGTTTTGAAGTACATTCTAGTAAAATAACTAGAGCATAATGATCGATAACTTTTCTTTACTCACTTCTAACAAAATTTTTACATCAAACAAGCGTTAAGAGCATGTTTGAACCCCCCCTTTTTTTTTGTCAAAAATGTATTTTGAAATAGTATTTTGATGAAGACGGTGTGATTAAAAAATAAGAAAAAACTTTGAATTTGTGTATAATATTATTTTATTGAATAATGTGGAGTTAAAAATAAATGAGAGAAAAATGTATTTTGAAAATAATTTGGCCAAACAATCTCTAATGTACGATTAGAGATTCGGATTATCTTTTACGTAATCTATAGGTCGCCAAAATTATGGAAGAGAGCAAACAAAATGGAAAACACATGTAGAAATTAGAATTAAAATTATGCACTCAGTCGGCATATACTCTTGACTCCCTATTTGTCATCCTTTACTATACATTATTTCTCATTATTTTTATACAATACTCATTTTTAATCATACATTTTTTATTAAAATAATATCACACACAAATAAAAAAAAATCTTCTTTTTTAACCCCACTTATTCCCCATCCATCACTATTCCATAATATATTGAGTTTTTCCATATGTATAGAATTTATTTCACAGAAAGTATACAGAAATCTCACATGAACGTGAATCTCATATGAATAAAAAAGTGCCAAGAAATTTACCCCAGCACACCCCACACCCCTACTATAAGTGGTCTGTATGGATTCTGTGAAATCAGAATCTTTACACTCAGCATTTCTCTAATATATTTCTTCAAATTAATGGGCTCAAATTGAGCAGAATTCATCGATACATTATACTAAAATTAGGGGGAAAAACGATGCATTTTTCAATATTATTCAGTTTTTCTTCTCGCACATTACATTCATCAAAACCCTAAAACCTGATAGTTCTCCAATTAATTCGTTAATGAGCACAACGTATTTACAAAAGATGGAAGAAAAAAAGTTCTAAACAATTATCACCATTCTGTTAATCTCACGAATTGTTCTTCCTTTGATTTGTTTTCACTACTGTAATTCATCGGAGAAATAATTCAGGAGATATTGGAGGTCATTTGAATCTTCAGCTCCGCCATTGATGCGCAGAGACTCCAACACTCGCTGGAAGAGGAAAACATGGCAAGGGATCCGCAAAACACCTTTTTGTTCGTAACCATACTCTTGCGCCGATTTATTTAGTAGCTTTATAAAAATCGGGTGATTCAAAAGCTCGGCACTCACAACGAAGCGTTCCATTTCCTCGCCTACATACACCGGAAAGTGTCCCTCCGGTACTCCCCCGCTCCTCCGGAAAGACACAGCCTGTCGACGCCTCGTCCTTGACTCCGATCGCAAAAGATAGTACTGCGAAGAATCTGCCACTCTTGCTAGCCTCCCTATCAATCTCTTCATTTTTTCAAGGAATTTTCGGAAATTTTGAGATTTGAAGAGAGTTGGAAGTTTTAAATAGCTGATGCAGTGGGGTCACACAAAGGCTATTGGAAGGTACAGATAGTTGTACTGGCAGGTTCAACTATTGCCGAGTGTGTAATTAATTAATATTGTACGGTTTACTAAGCCGGTTTTTTAGATTTGGAAGGAACAATTTTTCTTTTTCTTTGGTAGGATGGAAAAGTTAAAGAGAATGAGACCATCGAAAACTACGGCGTTTTTCACGGGAATGACTTTCATGTGACACTCGCACGATTTCAGACTGCAAATTTTGTTGAGTCTCGTTTGACAACTTTTATTTTGACAAAATGAAGTTTTGAATAATGAATTTTTTTGACGTATATTAAAGAGAATAAAAAAAATTAGAATTTACATGTAAAATATTTTATAGTGTGAATGTGTGACTGAAATGAATATGTAGAAAAAATAGTTTGGAAATAATGATGGTCAAACAGGACCGAATAGCATAAAAGTGAATTTTAATTGTGAGCCATGAATGAGAATATGATGATCAATCTCTACTAAAGGCACACATGGGAGTCATGATTATCGATAAACGATGTCATCATCGATACCATTGTAAAGACTCTCATGATGAGTTGACTATGATCTTGTTTAAGTATGCTTAAAAAAATTACTAAAACGTCAAGTCGACATGATTTGAAACTCACTTATTTATAAGCAAAATTAATGTTACGGTTTACCGAAATGTCCTTTAGATTAATAAGTAACTTATTTATTCATAAATTTGATTAATAAAAAAATGAAATTTACTTATTCACTTATAATTAAACTCACTCAAAATTACTCCACGCTCAGTTGAGCTACATTTGGAATGGTTTTTAACCTGTTTTGGACAAGAGAAAAGTATTAATATTGTTATTTGATTGTTTATGTATATCTCCCAGTCCCAATCCCAATCAACTTTTTCTCCATTATTTTCTTAAAAAAAGGATAAAGAAATTCAGTAAAATTTGACAAAATTTACATTATTTGGTAACCTATCACAATCTACATTTTTTTTTATTCAAACTGGATACCGGCTATAGATATAACAGAGTTAAGGAAGAGATGAGAAATTAAATGTTTTGATATATAAATTTTATACCTACTTTTAAAATAATCTTAAATAATTAATTGAAGTCGCATTATGTACTTACATTAATATTACACATGCAAAATGTTATAAAAGTGAAAGCATTCTATCATAGTCTTATTTTTATAAAATTTATAGCAAGGAAGAGACTGTCCATAAACTTATTTCTGTCAAAGCTTATTTATTAATTATAATCAACTTTGTGTACGAGAAAAAGTTGGTTGTTGACTGTGTGAAGAGGGGCCGGATCACAGACCCAAGGATTAGTCTAGAATAGGACACCTTGTAAAAAAAAAAAAAAAAAAAAAAAAAAAAAAAAAAATTAAAAAAAAAAAAAAAAAAAAAAAAAAAAAAAAAAAAAAAAAAAAAAAAAAAAAAAAAAAAAAAAAAAAAAATTAACCGTACAATGGTCCACCAAACATGACTTCTTAGGTGATCTAGTCATTCTCCAAATAATTATTCCATATAGGACTCACTATCAATTTTTTAATCTCCACGGGTATTTTATTTCATAAGAAAAATAAGCAAAACTTTATTTTTTTCTTTAATCATTTCAAATAATAATATTAGAATTTGAAAAATATAAAATAAAAATTTTCGTTGGATTGGTCGGTAGAAAAGTTATAGCGTAGCCACTAGCATTAATAACATATTTTGGTAGTAAATTTCTTCACGAAACAAAAAATGTTAGGTGTTAGACAATGATCTCATATATTTGATTTAGCATGTAATTAGGAACATATGTGGTCCCATAACCTCTCAATTTCATTGCAAATTATAACTAATCATGTGAAACTTTATATTAGGACATAGTTTGACTTTAATAATTCCAATTTTATTTTTTATTTTTAAAGTTGTTGTGAAAGGGTAACATAATATTGAATAAGTTAGGTCTTAGTCGAGTAATCTAGTATAACCTGAAAATTTTGAACCGAGAACCTATATAGTAATAATGAAATGATCGTTGACGTCAAAAAATTGTTTGAATCTCTTTATTAACTTGTGAATTTGTTTCCTTCTAAATACGTAGAAGACACAACTTTGTTAGTGAATTCTATCACATCCCAAAGGAGGTGACTCATTTCTCACTCCAAAGATCAAGTCACTAGGGTGCGGCAGCTCATAGTCATGTTGTAAGAGTTATTAGTCTTTTTTTGTATGTACTCTGAATAAAATGGTTCGAGAGAATATGAAAAAAGATTTGACTGAGCATATAAGCTATCACATCAACTCGATGAGCATGTGAGTGCTATACGGCTAACGTGATTAGCACATAACGATCAAATCATTGGAGTTTCTAGATTCAATCTTGCAAGTTTTTGGTTGGTCCTAATTGTGACCCTTGCACATGGGCTTAACTTTTTTTCAAATATGCAAGTCCCTCATTTAGACACAACACTACTGCATGCGTATATATCATTCATTAACTATGTCTAATATTATATTCTTAGTAGAACCGAGCATAGTTCAATATTTGCATTAGATTGATTTGTAAACCTAAAAAACTAAAAATTTAGCCAATAAAATTGGAAATTGAGCTACTCACAAGTGAGTGTTCCCTTGGATAATAGGAATTGACTAAGGAAACGATGTGGGTTACCTTTTAAAATAACGTTGCAAGTCCTAAACCAAGTTGCACTGCGATCGTTGCTGTCTATCTTGACAATTTTTGTCTCTACTCAATTTTCATTTTCTTTTTGGGTAAATCACTTCCACAAGTTCTTTATTTTTTATTTTTTATACCCAGTTTGGTTTAGCTAAAAATAACAATAAAATTTTAAGTTAAAGTCAATTAATTTTAACCACATATTTCCAAAAAGCTACAACTTTTCAATTATATATTTCATCAATTTTTATTAAAAAAATTTTAAAACTGAATTTTTAGCAAACTAAACAAGGCTTAGTTGTAGACAGGTTATTATACCAGAATTATATGTATCTTTTTAATTTCGTGAAAAGACAAATTGTTCGTGCAAGCATTTCTTATTAAACTCTTCATATTTGAGGCGAATGAGGGAGAAAATTGAATATTTTCTTCTCGTTGCTAGCAAGCTAGCTAGCATCACGAAGTCTAAAACCTCATGATTTAAAGTATTAGTAAATTCAAGAGGCTGAAAAATTGCAGTAGCTCTTGCAATTGCAGATATATAAGAGCCATTGAACTGTTTCAGACGCCATCATCCAATGTTTTCACTTTAGGACATCTCCAATAGTGGCACCTGTTGGGAATATGGTATAAAGCTTATTTTGTAGGTGGACAGTATTTTAGCACAAGTTCAACAACACAAATATGATGTTAAACTACAAAGGAAGATGATAGAACCAAAAATAAGAATGGATGAAATGATCCAGACAAATGATAACACTCTTTCATTGAAACAAATTTGTCTCGTAATGGTGCTAACGGAGTAACGGCAATTGTCTGTTCAAATCAAAATTTCTTCCTTCCGACTTTGGATCACAATCTCTGATTCATTTGAAATTGATTTTGAGATTCCAAATATATCACGATCATCTACTTGACGAATAGAACAAGCTAGTCTATTTATTTCTATAATTTGACTATCGGATCAAGTTTGAATATTTGGCCGAATTGACACCAAAGTTATTTTTCACATTTTTCATGGTTCTATACTTAACCAATTTTCATCTCTTTTAAACCAAATTCCAACAGCAACAACATTTGAGGTCAATTTTGCACCATTTTTGTGAAAATCTTGTACCAAATTGAAAACTGTCTCAAACTTAAAACTCCAAAAGTTGTACGAAATTTTGTTTTATACCAAAATGAAGGGAAAAATGCTACAAATTTCCTTTGCGCCGTTTTGGCACAGAGGAACAGTGTTGCACATGTGCACCAAAATGGTGCAAAGAATGGCGCATGATTGAAGGAGGTTTGCACCACTTTTTTGGTGCAAAATGTAACATTTTAGTGTTTTGGGGTCTCCATTGAAGATGCCCTAAAAATGAATGAAAGTGTTGGGACGACAAATACGGTAAGCAATACTGTATGCTGCAGATTTATTGTGAGAGAAAATTCAATTTAATATAATTATAAAAAGAAAAAAGAAAAAAGGTTGAACCCCAATCTTGAAGGCTCCCACCGCTTTGTCCCTAGATGTAACGCCCCGAACTCTTTTTTCTATATTATTATATTATTTTTAAATTAAAATAAGCTCGAGGTGTTACCAAAACTTTTGTCTCTCTAATTTAAGCGGAAATATATCGAAAATACTTGATTTGAAATTATTAATTTAAAATTTAACATAACATGTCAAATGCTCGAACCGTTAAACATATTAAATAACATACATAAAAATTTACGTAAAGTTATTCTTCAAATAAAAATGGACAAATTATTCTTTTTTAGGAAATTTACGTGATGACCACAGAAGCATCGCTCCGTCAATCTTCCACTCGTCCTCACGACCCGTTCTTATTTGAAAATATTGTAAGAGTGAGTATTTTGAAAAATACTCAGTAAGAACACGTACACATTCTTATAACATGATATAAACATAATATGGCATAACATACCGACATTTCTTAAATTTAGAGCAACTGGTCGCGATTCCAACAGCTCAAGGAATTTCTTAAGAATCCTCATATCCCTTAGGATTTAAAATATTGACCCAAAAGTTCATCCCGTAGGATTTAACTTCTTTTCTTTGGCCTGACGGTCCATCCCAAAGGATTTAACATATAATTAGACTCGAAGGCCTTATAATATTTCATGCCAAATTTACATAAATATCATGAATAAGAATTTACCACTTGCACCATGCATTCTTACCTCAATTTGATATCCAAGAATTTACTTGAAAATGACTTTGTGAAAAGATATAAATATTATACTTTGCTCAAAATTCTAAAATTATAAAGTGCGCGTGATGTATGTTTAATATAAACTGTGGTGGAAGAAATC